CGCCCCGTGCGCATTCTGAGTCGGCGTTACGACCTGACCGCAACGGGCTACAAGTTTCTGGAAATCGGCGTCAACGTCGGTCCACCGAGCTACGTGGAGATCGTTCTGGGCGATCATCAGGGACGCGAACTGCCCATGTCCCTCGAGACGTGGAAGGGTCTCTACGAGCAGCGATCGAACATCTACAAGTTGCTGCGCAACGAGCACAAGGATAATTTCGTAGCCGTCGGACCGATCACGGTAACGATCTACGCGCACACCGATCTCACGCTCGTACGGCTCGAATCCCCGACCGTCCACGTCACGATGATCGAATCCACGCTACGCCGTATGTTCGATCTCGACGGCTGCATCGACGTTACCTTCGAGCGATTGTCCCGACTCGTCGGGACCGTCGACGTCAAGTACACGCGCTTCGCCAACGTCGCGAACGCTATAAGCGAGAGCGACGTCTTCGACAAACGCCAGCTCGTCGATTGCGAGCTTCTCGCTTTGGTATTTAATGCGCGATAAAAATATGTATTACTTACTACGTTGTACTAAAAAATTTATGAATAAAAAAATATATATATTCAGCATAAACTAATTTTTTTTTTCTTCCTAGCCTTTCTTTCCCATCCCGTTATACTACAATTGCCTTCGAAACGAATCTCTACGTTAGATTTACTACGCGCGATTATATTAGCAAAGTAATCGGAGTTGTTTTTATATACAATAGATAGGGCCGCCGCAATTGTTTTTATATACATTAGATAGGGCTGCCGATGCATCTCGCTGATGCATCTCAGTGCTCTTTCGTCTGTCGATCTACATACCAGTTGATCAACCGGTATTGCCAAGTTGCGTGCGCCATATTTTCCAAAGTTCTTCCGCAATCGTGGCGAAAGCCGTTAACGCGGGAAGATCGCCGTTTGCGTGTGCGTGCGTGCGTGCGTGTGTGTGTGTGCGTGTACGTGTGTGTACGTGTGCGTGTACGTGTGTGTACGTGTGACAAAAAAAAACAAAAAAAAAATGGGGAACCGCGAGCCCCCTCGCGAACAATTTTTACGCCAGTTTTTCGCAGACGAGGAGGTGATGGAGGTGGCAATGGATATTGCCATCGATATCGCCATGGAGGTAGCAATGGAGGTAGCCTTAGAGTTTGATAACCCTCCATGGCTACCTCCCACACCCCCTCCTTCACCTCCTCCTATGGAGGATAACGACGGCGAGGATGACGTCGTCGTCGATGAGGATGACGCTGAGGACGACGTTATCGTCGACGAGAACGGCGCTGAGGACGACGTCGTGGAGGACGAGGACGACGACGACGTCGTCGTCGTTGACGAGGGCGACGACGACGTCGTCCTCCTTGAAGAGGTGCGCGTCGTCCACGTCGACGACGAGGACGCGGACGATGACGTCGTCATCGTGGACGACGACGTGGACGACGGCGCCGAGGACGTTCCCCCGGTTGGCCCTGCCAACCATATGCAGGTGGGTGAAGTGGAGGAATTCCTCCGACTCCTCGCCCACCTGACAGCTGATTACACAGCCCAACAAAATTTCCCTAATTTCACGTTGACTTCCAAGTATAAGTCGATTCCGATAGGATTTTTTCCGCAGAATCCAAATATGCCTATAAAAATATTGAATTGGCTCTAGTTTTTAAACAACTGAAGATCAAAAGGGTCGAATCACACGATTTTGCCAAATTTTGAGCGTCTATCAAAAAGGAACGAGCAACAATAAAATTGTCTT